GGAGAGGGATGAGCACCAGGAGGAACGGGCAAGGAGCCGAGCATCCAGCCAGGCTGTGGTGCCCGGCAGACCCCTGGCATGCCCAGGTAAGCATTTCAACGCAGCTCATCAGCTAGGAAAGTTTGTGGAATGCAAATATAGGGCAGGGGGCTGACTGCTGCATGAACTGCCCTTGGGATGCTCCTCTGCTGGGCTTGGCTCTGCTTGGAGCCCCCATACTGGACCTGGAGCTGGGAGACCCACAGCACGGGAGCTGTCACGCCCAGCTCGCTGGCACTGTGGCAGCTGAAGCAGCGGGATGCAGGCGGCTGATGAGCTGGAGCTGAAGTTGTGTCTCCTAACTTGCATCTCCCAAGCGCCTGCCTTAAACCTCCGCTGCTTCTGGAGGTCTCCCCTGGACACTGTGGGCAGGGGCTGCAAGGGGGTCTATGCCCAAGGAGCACCGTGTGGCACCCCTACCCCCGGCTCACCTGGATGAGCCTGCCCTGCTCCCCCTGCAGGGTGCTGAGCTCCTGCCCCATGGTGCTGTGCCCCTTCTTGAGCCCGTCACAGTCGGCACGCAGCTGCACGGCGTGGGTCAGCACCTTGGCCACCTCGTCTGCCACGGTGACCAGCAAGGCCTTCTGCTGGCTCCTGGTGGCCTTGGCCTCGGCATCGTGGTCGGTGACGGTGCGCAGCAGCGAGGTCTGCAGCCCCTCCAGGCGCCCGAAGGGGCCCGCCGCATCGGGGCAGTTGGGGTCGATGAAGATGTTGATGCGGGAACTGTCGGCTTTCTCGATGGTGACCAGCGCGTTGGCTTCCTCGGGGTTGGTGCTGATGACGGGGGGTGACTCGGTGACGGGCGCATGGTAGTGGTTCATGAAGAGGATGGCCCCCGTGACCGTCACTGCCAGGAGGACAGCCACCGAGAGCAGGACAGTGCACAGGATGTACCCGCAGCTCATCCTCTGCAGACAGAGACGCGGATGCCGTCAGGATCCGTCCGGAGGGACCTATCCCGCCCCCCTTCATCTGAGAGGTGGGTTCAAACCCTCACAGGCTTTGGGGAGGTGATGTTGGGCACAGGGGGCGGTGGCAGAGGAGGGGATGTGGGGACCCCGGGGAGCCCTGCGGTTCTGCCAGGGACACGGAGGCCACGGGCGAGCGCTTTAGTGGAGCAGCTGAACCCGCCCGGGAGCCTGAGGTATGAAATAATGAAGAGC